AGGCTGATGTCACAGCACTCTAGTCTAGGCAAAAGAGTGAGAATGTGTTGCAAAAAAGGGAGAAAAGTTGGGCATATCTCCCCCATACTGTCAAAACCTTCCAAAATGCTCAAGGCACTCCCAGGACACTATTAGAACAGTGGTTCTCAACTCTCCTAATGCTGTGACCCTTTAATACAGTTCCTTATGTTGGGATGACCCCCAACCATAAAATTATTTTCGTTGCTACTTCATAACTGTAATTTTGCTACTGTTATGAATTGTAATGTAAATATCTGATAGGCAGGATGTATTTAGGTGACCCTTGTGAAAGGGTCGTTCGACCCCCAAAGGGGTTGCGACCCATAGGTTGAGAACCACTGTATTAGAACATTCAAACAAAGTTTTCTGGGATGGGAACGGTGGCTCACACCTGTAATCTTAGCACTCTGGGAGGCTGAAGCTGGAGGACCACTTAAGCTCAGGTGTGTTCCAGACCAGCCAGAGCAAAAAAGCAAGACTTCAGTCTCTGCCAAAAATAAAAAAAATTAGCCTGGCATTGTGGTGAGCACCTGTAGTCTCAGCTACTTGAGAGGCTAAGGCAGGAAGATCACTTGAGCCCAAGAGTTTGAGGTTGTTGTGAGGTAGGCTCATGCCACAGCACTGTGGGTCTGAGCAACACAGTGAGACTCCATCACAAAACAAAACAAAACGCACATGAGTATCATAGTATACTAAGGGAAGCTTGGGGTAATTTCCTTCCTTCTAGGGAAAAATAGGAATAGTTCTTTCCTGAGTGGAACATTCTCTCCTTAGCCTTCTCTTTTTGAGATAGAGTCTTATTATGTCACCCTCAGTAGAGTGCTGTGGTATCACAGCTCACAGCAACCTCAGACTCTTGGGCTCAAGCGATTATCTTACCTTAGCCTCCAAGTAGCTGGGATTACAGGCGCCGGCCACAATGCCTGGCTATTTTTGTTGTTGTAGTTGTTATTGTTCTTTAGCTGTCCTGGGTCCAGGTTTGAGCCTGCCAGCCTTGGTGTATGTGGCTGGTGCCCTACTCACAGGCTACAGGTGTCGCCCTACTTAACCATTTTAACAAATTATTCTTTTTTTCTTTTATGTACATTAAAGTCAAAAACATAAAAAATATATACATATAACTTTGGGTGGTGCCTGTCGAGGGCGACAAAGTGAAACTCTGTCTCTTAAAAAAAAGAAAAAAAAATATACACACACACACAACTTTATTTCCATAGCCAGACTCACGTTGTAATATATTTCGTTGTTCGAGTTCTTCTGGTGTTGGTCTTTGACTCAGTCGTCTAAAAAGGAGATAAATAAATAAATAATAATGTTAACCTCTTAATCTTGTTAATAAATATATTTTGGCCATAGTTAATATTAGCCCCTATAGAATTAGGAAATCAATAATTTTTCAAACTGATGCTTAGAAAAACAATGTCACATTGAAAGTGCTAGTTCACACAGATTTCAAATTGTGAGAAGAAACTGTACATACATACAAACAGGAGGCCAGGATTTATGTTCTGTTTTTTTTTTTTTTTTGCAGTTTTTGGCCCCGGGCCAGGTTTGAACCTGCCACCTCCAGTACATGGGGCTGGCACCCTACTCTTTTGAGCCACAGGCGCCACCTTTTATGTTCTATTTTTGACATTGATAAGAGATATAACCACAAAAGACCCTGAGTGTCCCTATCTGACCTGAACTGATGGCTCTAAAACAAATTTGCCCTTCAAAAGCATTAGAGAAAGGCCAGGTGTGGTGGCTCACAACCTGTAATCCTAATACTCTTGGAGGCTGAGGCAGGTGGACTGCTTGAGCTCACGAGTTCAGAGACCACCCTGAGCAAAAAGCAAGATCCCATCTCTACTAAAAATAGAAAAACTGAGGCAAGAG